AAGAGTGAAAGTGGTAATTAATTACGTTAATTACGAATTACGTATTTACGGTAATTAGCTAATTACCATATCATGTATAACTGTATGTAAAAAAAAAATATTAGCTTTAGTTTTACAAATATATCTTTTCATTTTTGAATGAATTTAATTGGGTGGAATTAAGAGCAATTATGATTGGCAAGTATTTTAAAAAAGGAAAAGAAACAAGAATATTGTGAATAATATGTGCATACATGCTGTGATCCATTTATTATATGTAAGGTTGTGGGCGAAACCTTCTTAGTAATTCCTGAAATCGCGGTAAAACTATATTAAATCTTATCAAAAATCCTGTTGAAACTATGCCGAAATGGCGAAACCTCAAAATGCGAAACTCTGCTGAAACTCTAATAAACAATTAATGTGTAACCTGCTGAAACCCTGCCAATTGATTTCTGGAGGAGTTTCGGCAAGCAACCTTAATTATATGGGGCATGCTGCAACAAAACCAGACAAAGTGAACATAGTATTACCAAGGATTTCAGGGATCAAAACTTAATAATGTGATTATTAAAATCTTCCATTTGTTATCCTTTTATTGTGGTTTGCAAAATAGTTGATTTTTTGCAGATCCGTGTGACCCATAATTTTTTTTTACAAAATTTTCTTGTCGCGAAAGATAAATATTATAAAACTAATAATTTTAATATTTTTTAATTCAGTTTTTTTATGAACTTTTCCTAATTAAACTTTATATTATAATATATCAAAATCTCAAGTGTGGTTGAATATAAAATATTTAGTGAAAAATAAGAAAAATTATATATATATATATTTATTTTCAATTGAAATTTTTTGAAATTTCATTGATCCTTCCCCAAAACTGCCTATTTTTTGTGAACTTTTCCTAATCAGTATATACAATAAAATATATCAAAATTTCAAGTGTGGTTAAATGTAAAATATTTAGTGAAAAGTGAGGAAAACCATGTATTTATTGTTTCTTTTCAATTGAACTTTTTTGAAATTTCCCAAAATTAGCAACACTATTTCTCATTTTTTTGTGAACTCTCTTTAATTAGCATCTATAACATATTATATCAAAATTTCAAGTGTGGTTAAATATAAAACATAGTAAGAAAAGACTAATGCTAACATTTTTTTTAATGAATAATTACTCTGTTGGCATTATTCAGATATGAAGATATATCAATTAAGCACAGATTTAAAATGGAGAATTGTGTTTTTACATATTGATGGTTATTCAGATCAGATAATTGCAAATATGTTATGCCTTAGCATCTCAACTGTAAGAAGGATTCTTAACTTATATAAAACTTGGGGATGTGTTGAAACTCCTATTAAAGGACAGCAAGGAAGAAGAAAAATCTTTGATAAGAAGGATTTAGAAGTATGTTTATAAAATCATTCATCAAATTTTATTATTGAAATAATTTTTTTAACAAATAAATAATTTTGTAAAATAGTCATTGAAACAACTAGTTACTCAAAACCCTGATTTTTATTTGGATGAATTGGTAGTTGAAATGACTAAGAAATCTGGTAAAGAGGTATCAGTTGCAACATTATGTCATTCATTAAAATATTGTGGAATTACAAGAAAAAAGGTGAAATAACATTATTACAAAATTTTTTAAAATTAAGTTGATTCTTATGAAAACTTTATATTATAGATAACAAAAGCTGCAAAAGAAAGAAATGAACTAGTTCGTGGTTTTTTCATTTTAACAATAGGTAGTTATTATTCCCCAGAACAACTAATTTTTTTAGATGAGTCTTCAAAAGATGAAAGATCAATATCATGTTCATATGGGTATTCATTTAGAAATCAACCAATCAATCAGAAAGTGGTTTTTATACGTGGTAAAAGGTTTACCATACTGCCAGCATTAACTTTAGAAGGATATATTGCTTTGGACATCATGGAAGGCAATTGCACCAAAGAAAGGTTTCGAAGTTTTATTTTAGCACAAATTGTAAATAGTGTAAATAATTTGGGTGTTATAAAATGAATGAAAAGGGAAAAGGAGAAAAAAGTTGTAATAGAGAAAAGTTATTTGTAATTAAATATTTGTTTATGTATGATGTGAATAATATAATATTTTTGTTTAATTACTATTTTATAGTTACCATTAATGAATCCTTATCCACAAAAAAACAGTGTATTGGTAATGGATAATGCAGTTATTCACCATGATGATGAAATGATTCAATTAATGAAATAAGTTGGTTGTCATGTTTTATTTCTTCCGCCTTATTCACCTGATTACAATCCAATTGAATTATCATTTTCATTTATTAAAAAATAGATAAAAAGAAACAATATATTTATTATTATGCAGAGTTGTGCAGATCCTAACAGTTGCCTGTATGCAAATAACAACAAATTTGGCACATTCATATTTTAAAAAGTGTACATATATAAATTAATTAAAATAAGAATTTTCATTTTTATTGTAATTAATATTTGATATCTTTATATTTTTCTGCCTCTCTAATCATTTTTTTTCTTATACCAATTTTATCTACACCCAAATTAATGAAATCAGAATCATTTAATGTTAAAATATCCAAAACATCAATTGATTCATTAATAAAACTGTCCAAAAATTGGGTAAACAAACCATCTCCATACTTTTGATCTAAGCTTTCTAAAAAGTCATTTATTGATGGTATGTCTCTTGGTTGTGAATTAATTGGTTTTGTTGGTGAACACAATGCCAAAAAGGGGGTTTTGGGACAAAACTCCCTGCATTGGTATTCGTGTGCCTAGCCGCCCTGGAAGCTCAAAAGATATCAGTTTTTCGAAAGCGGCGAAATTTATTTTTTAGGCCGCATTTTTTGGTTAGATTTTTTTCCTATGCGGCCAATTTTTAATTTTTAGCCACCCAGATGATATAAAAAAAGCGGTAAAATTTATTTTTTAGGCCACATTTTGGTTCGATTTTTTATTTGCATATCAGAAAACGCCTATAGAGGCTATAGCTTTCTTAATTATCTAACTACCTTTTTAGCCGTTTTTTTTGCTTCCAAAGCTTAAAAAGCTATGCAAACTAATAAATCTAACCAAAATGCGGCCATTTTTTATTTTTAGACCACATTTTTGTCCTAAAAAATCTAACCAAAAAATCTAACGAAATTTTATAAAATTATATTTAAAAAAAGGGCTATCCTGGTCTATAAAGCTCAATTAGCATAGCAATTATAAAAAATCTAACCGAAAATTTTTTTTAAAAAATCTAACCAAAAAATATAACGAAATTTTTCTTTAGCTATACTAAAGGCTTCGCTATTTCCAAACCAAATTCGATTTTTTTGTCGCAAATATTATTAGATCTAAAGAAAAAAAAAATCTTTATAATATGGTTTCCAAGTAATTATGACGTATCTCTAGAAATTTTGGTGGGGTCTTTAGTATAACTAAAGTTGATATTCGGGTTTGAGGGTTAATTTCATAGCCTTTTTTTCCGCTTCTTCAGGAATTACCCCTGATGCAACAAATTTTTTATATGCACGAATTCTCCAATCCCCATAAGGTAAAGTTTGGATTCCGTCAGATAAAATCCAGCGCTTATTGTCATAAGGATTTAGCCCTATTTTGTTAACGCGTTCTAAATAAATTTGGTGATCATAGCTACGAAGCCCATACATGTCATGCCTAGTAATTTTTCGAGTTTTTAAGCATTCTAAAAATTTGTCATGACGAAGCTCCCTTTTTACTACGGATTTTTTAACGCCCTTGGCCTTTTGTATGCCATGCTTTTTCTGCCAACCCTCTTCTTCTAACTCTTTTTCAAAATCCGCCTCTGTTTTAGGCGTTTTGGGATCATGACCAACTGGAAGAACTGAATACATTTTCGGCTTTAAGCATACAGCTTCACTAATCGGGATTCCCTTACACTCATCTTTCATTAGAAATAAGTCTCCGGAATTATTAAGATCAAATAGGTCTGGCCTCTCTGCCCGGTCTTTATAAACGTCTTCAGTTTCAATCCACATAATTAGTGAATCGGTATCAGTATAAAGAAGGCGGGCCTTTTCCCCATAACGGGGTTTAATATAGCCATACCAAAAGTTATACATCATTGCCTTACTAATATCGAGAATTGCTTGTCCTACAAACATCGGCTTATTTAGAGTAATCTGGCTTTTTAGCATATGGATGGCTGTAATTCCGCCTTCGAAAGCCTTAAAACCTACATATAAAGGAGATGAGGTAAGACGTTTAAGTTTTTTGTCCTCATCAGGTTTAAGTAATTCTACTCTCATATGTTTTCGGACATTTTCCATTTGCTTACCAAAGACGGCATTATTTTTTAATTTATAGTACATAACTCCGAATTCGTCCCCAGATGCTTTAGCAATTTTTCTTTTGCGAATATTTTCCTCTATATAGGGCTTCATCCATGGGGATTGACGGAATTTTAGAGCTTATGAATTTTTGTAACCTTTATTCAAAGGCTTATATAAAGTTGGAGGGCTCTGTAATGAACCACATAATTTTTCTTAGGCAGGAGCGTCTGAAGTAGTTTTTCTCCTAATACATATTTTCCTCCGCCAATTTCCGAATCATTTACCAAGTCTTCATTATATGGGCTAAGCCAGTTTTTAGTACAACACCTTTTTCAGGTGCTAATGGGTAATCATTGAATAAATCGTGCAAGTTTAACGGAACTTCCATATCAACTTCAAGTAAATAGCCCTCTTCAGCATCAATCGGAACTTCTAAAATATTAGGAATTTCCTCGGGGGCTACCTTACCTAAACTTTCTATTGGTAAATATTGCGTCATGGCGCCAGAATATAAGGCATTCATATCCACATACATAACCCATGAATTCGGCTTGCTTTCATCATAATCAGGACATTGCGGATTATTAGCTTTGGCATAACGTTGGCTAACCATGGACATGCTCCCACGGATTCCTTTTTCAACTAACAAATATTGATCCATATCTGTTATAAGTTTTATTTCAGCCCCACTACTTTTGTATAAAGAATCATTAAACATACCAGGAGCTGAAACGTAATGGGAAGGGTCTAAGCCATTATCTTTCAAACACATAATGGTATAATTCATAAATACATCGGCAAGTAGGAGTACATCTGTTTCAAGATATAAATCATGGTATTCACCAAAATTTTTCATTTCAAATTTTTTCCAGACTTCTTGGGCATAGGAATAGTCCGCTTTACTAATATTTTGCTGATTAAGTATAGAATAGAAATCCTTTCTTCGCGGTAAAGCCGTTTTTTCGAATTTATCCCAAGAATTGGTCCAGTCATATGGAAAAACTCCTTTTCGAAATAGAAACTTGATTTGGTCTAATGTATAGCCTTTATCGGTAAAATGCTTTATAGTTAGGGGAAACTTTTCTAGATTGCCATCCATAGTTGCAACAAGTTTTTCGAGGCCCATAGACATATGTTGAAAACTATCTAAAAAGCGCAATTGGCCCACATCCATAGCCTTATATTTTCCTATGTTTTCTGGAATACATTTTATTTTATCTGCTGTAAATTTAGCTACAATTTCCATAAGTATATGGCAATCATATCCTCGATAATTATGACATTCAAGAGGTACTTTGGTTTTAAATGCCCCCATTTGTAATTTTTTATTACAATCACTATGTGCCGGACCTCTATACTTACTGCTAATATGGCAATGATCCTGGACTTTTAATAACCCTTGATCTAACATTTGACTATCACAATACATACATTTGTACGCTTCTTTGAATATTCCATTATCTGGAATACTAGGCTGTTGATACCATTTTGGACCAATTATTTCATTTTTTCGCTTACATCCTTGGTGTGATGCTCCTTTATAATTTCCGGTATTAGGGCAACAAACCATTGTTTTGAGCATATTTTGATTTGGAAATTCTTTCTTGCAAATCCAACATTCCGTTGCCATTCTATGCCTTGTATAGTCCCCAGGTTCAATAACCATTTCGGCAGGTGCGGATAAATCTAAATTAATATCTGCTAGTTCTAGCTCTAATTTGTCTACGAATTTTTCCAATGCATTAGGCCCTCTATATAAATCATAGCTTGTTATTTCATAATTACAAAAACTGTCCATACGAATAACTACATAACTATATCCACAAGGTATATGCCTCTGAATTTTTTCAGTGCGGGTTAATTGGGCATCTTCTTCCGGAGTTAATTTTGTAGTTAAACATTCAAGGTCCCAAAATATTCGGTATGGATTTGTTTGCATATATTTGTGGTTATCAAATGCCTTGGTGCACTTATATAGTTTGGGGACTTTTGGCACTTGTGGTGCACCGTTTAATCCTGAACATTTATGATTTCTAAGCCCTTTTTCATCTGAATATACATGAAGACAATATCGGCAAAGGTATTTTCGCTCTTTATGCTTACTATGGTTATAAACCAGTCTATGGATATCTTTAATAATACAATAATGCGAGCGCGGATTTTCTATTTCATCTGGCTCTGAGATAACCAGAAGATTAACCTCTTTGTAATTTTTCTTTCTCCTTTCTGATATATACTGGAACTCAAGATGTTTATTTTCATTGGACCATTTATACACGCAAAGACTAATTTCAGGATTATTTTCTTCGAATTTTTGGTATAATGGCGTTGAGACTGGTACAGGAACTGGAATGCCCTCCATATTTAACTCATTTATATAATTAGCATATATCCGGTGCGGATTTCTTTCTGGATGGTCTTTAACTGGGTGCAAGGCTCCAAGTACGCACCATCCAAAGCACCATTCATCATTATTCTGCATATTTATAACTCCGTTATTTCGTTTTGGTATTGTTTCTGGTAATGGTATGTGGCATGTTGGTCCAATTGGACAAAAATCTGAAATTTCAATACTAAATTCTTCGATATATTCTGGGTATGCATCGGACATTTTTTATTGTAATAAGTCTAACCAAATAACTATTATTTACTTATATATTTATTTTTTCTTTTTAATTAATTATTTCTGATGGGTCATAATTTTCATTAAATTTTTTTCGTTATCTGAGTGGCTAAAAATTAGCATAGCCTTTAGTATAACTAAAGAATTCGGCTAAAAAAGTAATTGATCATCCATATAGCAAATAAATAACCAATGCGTTGTATGAGCTTATATTATTGTAATTAGCTATACGCATTAAAACGAAAATTAGAGGATAGATATCAAACTCAATTAACCGCAATGCAAAATGCTTTGAAAGATAAGGATCAGGTCAATGAACAGGTTTTACTATGTAAAAAATCGAAAATAGCTGATTTGTCCGCTTTGCTAAAGGATACCAAGAAGTCTCTTAATGTCCTAAAAAAAGAGCACACTTCAACCCTATCGGCTTTACAAAAATTAGAGGCTAAAAATCGGGGATTGCTTGAGGTCATAGACGCTAAGGACCAAAAAATAATCAATCTCAATGACCACATTATATTTTTCAATCCACATGATGGTAGAGATGGAACAGTTGAGCCAGAAAGTTATTTTTCCCATTCTGAAAAAGATTTATGGGCAAATAGGTACTATAATTCAGAGACTGATCTGGAAAATCGAAAAAAATTTACATTTAGAAAAAATCTACATAGCAGATTAGTGAAACAAGCTCTGCTAAGCCATAGTTAATCTAATGGGAACCATTTCATTTTTCTCATAATTTGATAAATTTCCGGCACTGCTTAAAGCTACTGGGAAATTTCCAGTAGTGCAAGAAGTTTTCCTAGAAAAATGTGCCTTAAGCTTAGAAGGATATGGAAACCCTTTTCCGCATTTATGGCAAGAATGAATTATTTTTTTTTATGGACTGATAATGGTATAGTTATTTCTTTATCTGAATAACGGATTATACATTTGCGGGATGAAATATCAGGGAGGGCACGTGCTTTATCAAGCCATGGGACACCAAGTATTAGTAATAGCCCTTCTTCATCAATCTCATCAAAATCGTCTTCAATAATGCATCCATTTTTTCCGCCAACTTTAATACCTAATCCAGAAATGGTACCAAGTGTCCTGGTTATAGTACCAATTTTATCCAATTCTATAGTGCGGTTTTTATCACTTTTTAGCCCAAGCTTCTTTCTGGGGCCCTTAGAGATAATATCCCGGGATGCACATGTATCAGATCACGCTTCTGGAATATAAAATAATTCGCCATTAGGTAAAACAATTTCGCATGGGATAGTTGATACATCGTTGGGTGGAAGACGTTTAATTAAGCCAATTTGCATAGGGTTTATCCATTCCGGATTATATGACTCTGTTGGCAGCGTTAATGTTTCTGAAGGAGGTGGTATCTGCATATCAGCCGTTTCTTGCCTTACAATGTTAGGTTGATTTGATGAAAAAGCGGTATCAATACATGGTTGTAAGATTTCATTAAAATCCTTTGTAACGTTATTCCAAATTTTTTCTTGCTCTTTGGAAGAAAAGCCATTGGCATATTGCGAAATAAGTATCTCTTTCATCCCTAAATATTTCAAATTAAGCAAATTCAAACCGTCCCTTAGAACATCTTGATTATATGATTTAGTAAAATATTCAACCATCATTTTTAAGGCTGTATTGAAGATATCTCTAGTTACAATGGTAATTTTTGGGCGCTTTTTTATATTGCGTGCTTTAGATTTCATTTTTTTTTTTTTTTTTAACGCCACCAATAAGACCATAATTGGTTTCATCTTCTTCCTCACTTTCAGTATTAGAATCTTCTGAATCAACTTCTGAATCATCTTCTGAATCATCTTGATAATAAATTCTATCATCAACGGTATTATTAATAGCACCTATACGTTTCTTCTTCTTGTACTTAGCCTTGCCTGGTTTCTTAACAGGCTTTTTTGGAGAGCGTCTTTTTGAAGGGATTCTACGTACATTTCCTAAACTCATATTTCGCCCATACAAAGAGGATAATTCGTCATTGATGTATTCATCAATATTTTCAGGGTCTTGCAACCTTTTCTCTTCGGCAAAAGCACTTTGCCTGATACGATCTGCAAGTTTAAATTTTCTCTCTGCTATTGGGTTAAGAAATCTTGCTGGTAAAGAAGATAACTTTTCAGTTCCTGGATAAGCATTATAGTTAGGGAACATTTTCTTAAATTCTTCTTCTAAAAATGGAGGTAGATGATTTATACGGAATTCCTCAAGCCTATAATCATGTCCCGGAGGTAAAGGGGGTGGTTTAGCCGTGCTAGCAGAGCTATTTTCAGATGCGGGAATTTGAGGTGCATTCTGCGGTATTTGAGTATTAGAGGCCTGAGCCTTACCTACTACGCCACGAATTTCAATATAGGATCTTTTTAAGTCTGCAAAGAAATTAGCTACTGTTCGATTTCCAGCTCCGCGATAAGTCATATACACTACCTGGACAAAAGTATAGGGACACCTGCAGATCATCACAAATAATTGAATAAAGTGACATGACAAAAACTAAAAATTTTACTATCCCAATCACACTTGCTTATTAAGTAAAAATTAATTTTCATATCAAATACTATAATATACTGAAGTTTCACCGCATATAAATAAACCATTGTTGTTTTACAAACCTTAAAAGATAAAAATGAAAATCCTGGAATTTTTTTAAAAATCTTTAACTCAAAAATTGACCACATTGGCAAGTTCTAACAACCTTTGTGGTATAAGTAAAAAATGTTTCTCATATTCAAATCTAGTTACTTCTAAAATTTTAGAGCATTTGGTAGATTAATTAACGAGGGAAAAAATAAAACGTAAAAAAATTTACAAAACAATTCAGCCTTAAACTGCTCACTAATTTGAAACATAAAAGACATCAAAAAATATATGAAACTACTTTAAATTAATTGTATTTTATTAAAAAAAAATCAATATCTTGTCGGGTTTCCTCTACTTTTTAAAACAGCATCAACCCTTCGTGGCATACTATCTATTAATTTATTAATTTTTTCTGGACTAGTATTAAACCACTCCTCTTTCAATGAATTAAATAATTCAATCTTATTTTTTGATTTATAGTTTTTTAATCTAAGTCTTCTTTTTAAATCCTGCCAAAAATTTTCAATAGGATTGAGGTCTGGGCTTTGTGCAGGCCAGGGGAGAACCACAATGTTATTATTTTCTTTCCATATGTTTGCAGCAGCTGCTTTATGACATGGTGCATTATCTTCTTGAAAGATAAATACACCATCACCATGATTACACCGATCTTCTGCACTTAATTCGTCAATAAAAGGTAATAAATTTGCTGCAAGAAGGTTATTATAATTACTTGCATTTAATTTACCTTCAACTAATACTAACGGACCCATTTTTCTTCTTGTAAAACAACCCCAAACCATGATTCCATCAGATTGTTTTACTGTTGGACTTAAATGTTCTTTTTTATATCTTTCTCCTGGCATTCTCCAAACCCAATCATTTGAATCGTTTTGAAATAGTAAGAACCTACTTTCATCACTGAATATAATTTTATCCCATTCGTTTCCCCAATTTTTTCTTGCATGACACCAAAATAATCTTTTTTTCCTATTTTTTGCAGAAATTAATGGCTTCTTTACAGCCTTCCTACCATAAATATTTTTAGTGTGTAAAGTTCGCCTGACAGTCTTTTCACTTGCTATAATGTTTAATTCTTCAAGTTGTTTGGATAATTGATAGGCAGTTGTTTTAGGGACTTTTCTTACTGCTTTTACAAGCTGCCTTTCATCACGAGTTGATAATTTTTTAGGTCTGCCAGTCCTGAGAGCTGCAGTTGTTTTATTTTTATTAAAATAATCATTAATGGTGTTTTCAACTGCTCTTTTGGATCTATTTAATAT